AATTTTGTCCTTTAATCGTAGGTACAGGGATCGAAAATGTTCGGCATGTGAGAGAAAGAGATGCGGCGTAGAATGTGCGTTTGATGGCGGACCGAAGTCTTTGAGCTGTCAACTGCATAATCTGGTCACCCTTGAATGGTAGGTTAATAAAGATAGCTTTCTTTGGTACAGAGGCTGTCTTTTCTAGATGTGGTTTATCATTACTGTGACAAGTGATGAAGTTCTCTGGATAACCATAAGCTAATAAAACTGAATGTATGTTTCGGAGCTCATCCATCAATGTGTCACTCGTGCATATTTTCCGGGCTAAAGATTCTATGTTGATTAAGCACATAACCTTTTCCTTAATGTACCAGGTGTCTAGCATATTGGTCATGTTGATTAAATGAACTTTTTGCCGAATGGTTTGATAATGAGTCTCTTACACTAATTTTACCTTAAATGAAATGCGATACAGTTTCTTGAAAATTTTACTTCTGCTCCCACATAAGATGGTTACTGCCCTCCAGCGATATTCAAAAGTTGAATTCTAATTAATCTGTATATATTTATCCCGTCATAGGAATTCATGACGTTTGATTTATACCTACCACTAATACATTCAAAAATAATCACAGGTAAAAATCATACTGTTATGAACACGTGTCACAGATTTGGAATGCCATTAACTGTGAATTTAACGTCAACATGGGTACACTTTTATTAAAGCATACTCTACCAAGAAAGGTACTCTAAAAAATAAACATTCCATGTCATGACACTTATAACAGTTATCCCTCTTGTCATTCATAAGATGTGAGTTCGATTCACTAAATACTTTGTTTTAATAAAGGCATAAAACACTTTTTTGAATATTATTTACTCAACAATTTATTTATCAATTCATATAGTTTTGAAGTAATCATCTGTAAATGTACAGGTTGATAAAAATCTCAGGACATTACAACACCTTTGATATGAGGATTAATGCACTAGGAAAGGTTTTACATTGAATGACTGTAAAAAGTGAAAACATAAGTATGTGAATAAACATGGTTTTTATGCAGTGCAGTGTTCTTCTGTACCCTAAATATTCATTAAGATGACCAAACAGTCTCAGACTTTGGACAGAAGAATGAACCAACGCAAACGACTACAGGTGGAATGCAGTTCTCATGAGAAGAGACAGTCTTATTAACTTTGATAAAAATCATACTAGAGCTAGTAGACAAAATATGCACATCTCAAAAGTAATTTCCACAGGGAATATTGTTAAGAGTATAGATTTTGAATTTGTTAAACTCTAAACTGAGATTATTTAAAGTATATCAATTTGTGTTCAAGGTAATCACTCAGTAGTCATCGATGGGTTTGATTTTTTCAATTCAGGGTTTGGCGTATTACATAACAAATCGTAAAGAAATGATTCTATTTCAAGTTGAAGTTTTCCGAATCCTAGGAGTCACTGATAAAGCAAAACACCATTTCCCTGTCTTGACATCAGTAAGTGAAGCAGCGAAATAACTTAGTCAGTGTTACTCAAAATTACTAGTTGCGAAGCAAGCTGTAACATATTGCAATAAAAAAAATAAGGTGATTGTGGCAAAATTGCTTCAAAAAGTCTAATTATATTTTATCAAAGCAAATAACTGTCATAAAGTACTAAGTAGTTTTCATCTAATCTCACCAAAACTTTTATTTACCTTGTTCAAAAGCTTAGATGAAAAGAAATAAGAGTAGTTATGCATAGATTATATTTACATTTCCTCTGAAATGCTTAACTGAAATAATTTGGATGTTTCAGCCAGAACTAAGACTTGTACTTAGCTAATATTTTGCGAAAGTATAGTTTAAACTGAGGTAATGGCAGATGTGTTTTAAATCAACAAGTTTGTCATAATGTTCCCATCAGAACATGTGATCGATTGATTATTCAGGCTAGCGTGATGATTATGAGCAGACATCCATCACACCCAAACAAAACTATCAAGAATAAAGGCGAATTGAACATCTAAATGCTGGCTACTTATCTTAGCCCAGCATGTCAAGCAAAAGGCTGGTAGCATGGAATTCGATGGTTCAAAGTCAGTTGCAAACCTGGTTTTCTATCTAATCTAACTTACTCCCATACAATAAGCGGTTGTGCTCAGACGAGTCTGTAACACACAATTCATGTTGACTGGAATACTATGAAGACAGAAGATGTCCCCCTAAGGCTGTCACCTGTACTGAGGTGAAAATAACTGGGAATTCATATTATCTGTAAACAAATTTCCATATAATTGCATACATATCTTACCATGTCTGTGTAACCTATGAGCTCGATAAGCGTGCGTAGATTGTTACCAGAAGTCCCCTGATAGAAACTGTCACTGAGTCCTAGCAGAATAATTTTTTCACCATTTAACGTCAGAACAAAATGCGTTAGTGCAAAACAGCATTATACAACATATCAATTGTTAATTTTACATCATCTAATTTTCCATTTGCAACCAAAAGGAAAGCTATTCCTACGCGTTTCATTACGATGAAGAGTGATATTCTGCTGTTTGTCAAATAATGAAATAGTTTGCCGAGTTTTTAAACTTGTGTATTATTATCATTATACTATCGGCTATCTACAGAAAATTGGTTAAAAAGTACTTTTATATGTGTGAAAAACTTGGACACTGTAATAACACTTAATTATACATTAATGTTATTTATTATAGCCAAACAGTATAATTTACTGGATGAAGTTTCGAATACACCTGATTATTTATAATCACAACACAATTTATCATTCTTGAACTAATTACTTGTTGTTTTTCACATTTTCATTTCATGCATATTTTTTGTTGGTAAATATTTCGATAATGACATTTAACAATTTTGATGTAACCATCTCAAGTAGGCTGACAAGGAAATCTCAATGTTTTTGCTTTTCAGTTTTGTTTATATTCATATGATCGTTATGTATGAGCCATAATTTTGTGTGTACTTTAAAGTCATTCGGAAACAGTGCTATATCTGTCTAACTGTATTATTAAAGTTTTGCGTAGGAAGATAAATAAAGAAAAGAGAGAAAAATAACCTGTTTTATTTTTTTTAACAACATTTTAAGACTTATCATTTCCTCTGATGATAATGACCATGAACTCTTGTTAACTCGTGTTTTAGAGTTTTCAAAAATGTTACTAGACATCATAACATTCTCTTCCTGTGTAGTAAAACTATCTAGTAAACAAATATATAATAGTTCATCCTGTACAATTTTCATTGGAAGATTAGTTTGAAGTTTGTCAAGGAAGTTACTGTCGACTTATAAAACAAAAAAATAGTCCCTGTAGATTTATTTAATGGCAGTGAACTTATGATGTATTCATATGTTGTCATTTTGTTATCTTGTTTTTAAAACAGTTTACCTCTGGAGTTCCGGCAGTTATGAACAACGAAAAACTAAGGGATTTAGGGAAAAAATAACTATCTGACCTGCTTAAGGTACTGAAGTGCATTGAGTTATTAACACAGGAGTGAGATCGTGAATGAATCAGCTTCCACTGACAAACCAAACGTGATAGTTTTATAGTATGCTGATAATGATAGCATGATTTTCGCTCAGATGCATCCCTGTTTCTATGGTAGTAATCACAATCCTATACTTTAAAAACCCTATGTTTATTAATAAGGTAACCAGAGAAGACATTGGAACCGGTGAGGAGCATTAGTAGATATCAGAAAGTATCTTTCGTAAACATTTAGGGAAAATTCAAATAGTGACATTGGTGTTATATTTGAAAAATGATTCAATGAACAGATGCTATGGTAATGCTTAGGATTCATAGTGACGATTTCATTATGATTCTGTATTTATTCTTGAAAATAAACCTGAGAAGTGTGTTTTCTGGAATGACAGTGAAAGCTTAGAGTATAAGCATTCCAGACCAGGAAAAGAAAGGTGTTTGTAGTTTTAGGTATCAGTTTTCCACCTTACAAATTACAGGACGCTGAACTGAAATTCACTGGATACAGATGGCTAGATAATCAGTTTCATTCACCTTACACGTTCAACGTAACTAAACTTTCACTGGATCATTAATCACAATTATACGTTGATCAATGCATAGTCTCGTTATCTTGATATTATGCTGACAAATGTAGGTTTTTTGTAGGAAGTATGTTGTTGTTTTTTGTACGAACAGTGAAAAATATTTATTTGAATGACTTAATCTTTTTGAGAATATGAGTCCACATTTCTCTAATTTTAAGACATAACACGTATGTTAACTGTCTCGGTCAGTAATTATCAGTGCACTCAGTCTCGCAGATAATGGAATTCGATTGAAATTTCAGAGAATGTATTTTTTGTTTCTGTTTATCATAAGAAATAGATGGGAAAGCTTAAAAGAACTGATGACTAAATCCTACATTTGTGCATGTCAGCAAAGTGAATCAGTACAATTGCTGACATTGTGCAATATAAGGTTCAATGAAAATAAGCGTTCACAATATAAAAATAATAAAACTAATTCAGTTAAAACATTTGTAATTTTTTTTATTCATAGGTAAATATCAGTTGATAACGAAAACAGTTTATGTTATATACAAAATAGCTCATACTGTGTATAAACCTTAGAAAGCAGTTCAAAATTATTAAAATTAGAAGATAAAAAAATCTGGTCTGAAGAGTGACAATTTAGGTGGGAACAAAGCGAATGACGTCTATATGTAAATGTATGAATAAGATATTCCATTGGATTTACGCGATCAGTAGAAATGATTTTTCTAGAAATGTCACCAGGATTCAAATATATCCTTTCTTGTAAACACCTACTTGACACACGATTGTAATGAACTGATTCGCTTCTCAGTGGACAAATTTTACATGGATATATACTTTCATTTGTTGTTATCCGTTGTGCAGCACTGGAATTTATTAAACAGCTGAGGCTTACATCTAGACTATTGGTCACAACTCCCATAAACTATATCAGCATTTCTTACTGTCAGATTAAAGCTATTGCTTTGTTTGATAATTTTAGGTTTTCCTTATGCAACTTCACCTACCTTATCTGTGCTTGTCCACCAATCTGGATTATTGAATTACACCATATGGATCAAGCTAATAACGCTTCTGCATTATATGAATTAATATCAGCTAAAAATTCTACTCCAGCATACTCACAACCAATGTGGATTGACAAAATCCCAATGATGTCACGTGAAAATGTAAGTTATAACTACATTATTTTACTAGTTAAATTTATTTAAGCTACAAACTATGTGTTGTTATTCTGTACCATCTTAGGAACAGTAAGGTACTGGAAACAAGCTACAGTGACAAATTATAAAAGACACTTCTTCAGTAAATTTACAGTCATATATACATTTACTAGAACGTGCAGCAGTCTTATTATTGAATACTAGGTGAAGTACAAATTCATGCACTTACCATGATTTGGTTTCTGACAGTGGCAAAATTACCACGCAATAGTTAACCTGACAACGAAAGTAAAGATTTGAAATTTGATAGGATACTTTTATTATTAGTAGTATTAGTTAGTTGTTTCTCTTTACACTTGTCAGGTAGGCACTCAGTTTGTTTTTCATCTGATATGGCGTAATATTTTTCCTGTCATTACAGAACACACCTTGTTAACTATTAGCTGTCACTGCCTCCTTCTGTCCAATAATAGAGTGCTAGACGTTCTACTAATTATAAATGCGACTGTATAGCCTCAGAAGATAAGTTTATTGATAAAGGAAATTTTCTTTGCTGGACTGTCTCTTTCTCATAACTGAAGTGATAAAAGAATTCACAATCTATCACAGATTGTTCTACAATTTCATGAAGGAATATTTTTGTGGACTAAATAATAATAAAATTGACATAACTTATTGGTATAATCAAAGTTAACTTTCAAGCAAAGCATATAAATATACTAATTTTAGATAGATTTAGTCACGAACGAAGTTCAGTCAGATAACATGGATATGGTTTGCTACCACTTTTTCTTACTACACTTTAACAAGGCAATAATTATTTAGGCCACTTTGGCACGTGCTTTCACTTCAAAAACTGAATAACTTCCAGTTCTTCTCGTAACAACTGATACAAACTGTTATTCATATTCTCAGATGATTTAAACACTTATGAGTTGTCGAACTCAGTGATCAAAGCTTCAGGTAAAAAACGCGTTCTAGTTTAAATAAAAAAGGGTAATACATACATTCCTTTGAATGATGCTTCCGTCGTAGTATATCACTAGAATTGGCGTTTAAAATTATGGGTTCTGGGTTCGAGTCTCACCATTACTTACTGGGAAATTAGGCAGATTGAGAGGACGTGTTACGGATATGACGAAATGAGCATCCCTCATTTCACTGATAGTCACCAATCACCATGACATAGTCGAAGTACCCGTTCTAGGAGACGGAACATTTTTGCCCATTGTAATCAATCAACAGGAAATACAAAACTACCCATGTTGAAAATTATAGGGGTGTGTGTTCATTTCGTAACGTTCCGATTGCATAATATCGATTCATCGCTTCAAGACTAATAACTTTTTATTTCTATTTCAAATCACATGATAATTATCATATATTAAATAAATGTATATTGAGTGTATTTCCTCAATTTAGGAAAGTATGATGATCATGGGTGAAGAAATCGAGGAGTATATACATTCAGTGTATTTAACAACAACAATGACTACGACGACAGAACCCCCAAGAACACGAAGAACGGCTCGTGATACATCAGCCCATCAGGTATTATTTTCTATATCTCCATGTTTCCTAAAGAATATTTAAAAATTCAATCTTTTGGCTAACTATATGAGCTATATTCATTAAATAATGACACAAATGAAGTATCTCCTTTAGCTCACTAATAGGGTTTTTTATGTGACACTGTTTCTGAACCGACGTTTTGGCTGATAAACTTAGTACGTTTCGTTACTGGAGAGATGAACTAACTGAGTTAGTTGGAAGCCTGATGACTGTTAGTGTGCTAAGTAATATTTCACGTCAGCATACAACGTGAATTTTGTTCAAAAACGTCTACCACAAATAATTTATGAGTGGTTTATGAATGACACTTTATTTCATTTATTATAGTACACGCAAATGAAAATCTATCCACTAACTGGTATAATGAGCTACAGAAAATTTTCCGTTCCCCTTGCGTATGTTTCCACACTAAACAAGTTGAATTATCCGCAACTGGGTGTATCATAACTTAACAATAAGACCATTTCAAGTGAACAACTAGGAACTATGGAATATCATAAAATTACCGATAAACAACCGCTTTTTAAAGAAAGCTACATATTTGGTTTATTTATAAGCCTCAGAAAATGAAGAAAGTTCAATTTATGAAAACGGGAGTAGATACATTTTAGAGGGAAGATCTTTAAATCTCCTTAGCACTTCACCATCGTCATCAACCGTTTCAGTTTGATCATTTTTATTATCAACTATCGCGTTTTCCAAATACTTTAAACTTGAATCCTTCTTTGATAATATTAAATGCAGCCTTAAGTTTATAAACAGAGATTTTCTATGCTGACATAAGCATTAGTACTGGTCGTTCTTAGGTGATTATCAACATGATCAAAACCACTGTTTGTAGGAGGTTTTATTTATTTCTGCTACTTTTATTGTGAATTTCTCTTTTATCGAATTAAAAATATTAGATTATCAGTGAATGATTTATAATACCACGGTATATACTGCAATTTACTACATCTATTCTGATATACTTTGAATAATTCTCAGGTAATCTATCCTTCTATTTGCGATTATATGATGATAGTATCAAATAACTTGCAGGTGTCTTTCGTTTACAATATTATTTGATAGGAGTAAACACTTCGGCTTTAAAAAGATCTGTTGTTAAAGTGACACACTCTAAATACAACCAAAGTGTTTACATAAACCCAGTGTTTGTTTACAAGCATTAGAAAACTGTGATATTATAGGCAAATAAACAAGATGACACTCTTGTCTAAAAACAGCGTCAATAACGAAACAATCTACTGGGTTTCATAAATTATCAATCTATATTTTTATAATGATGATACAGTTAGCATAACGAGACCTAAATTTCTATTTTTATAGGTTTGTAATACAGGAAGGAAATAATATAGAAGTGTCCACTTCATTTTGAATGATACATTTATTCGTCAGAAGGAGTAAACGATTTTAGACACTACTTGAAGACAATGTAGTTTATAAGTAAGTTCACTGCAGCCACTCCTGCATACAGCTAAAAAGCCTAGTTAATACATCACAAAACATCTATCATCCTAGCTGTGTAGAGAACAAATAAGAACTATGCAAAAGTCCATTTCGTTCTATGTGATTGACAGTGATCGATCAGTGGTCAAAACATAAGCATTTTAGCTGATTTGTTGCGTGCTGTCAAATCATTTCATTGAGCTTCGCATTTGCTTACTGTTTATAGGCGAGAATATACATATTTGAATAAATAATTTGAGAGCTTGTGTTCGGAATAAGTCAGTATAGCCATTATGAATCTCATAGTCAGACAAGACTTAACTAACTGTACTTACTGAATACAGTTTTTTAATCTTCTTCTTACTGAATTTCGTCATCACTTTCATTGAACAGCTACTCAATAGTTCAAACTCGACCTATCCACTTATACTTTAGTATTACTTAGTCCTTTCTAGTTTGCTTGTCTCTTAACCACATATTTAACCACTGCGTATTATTACAACTATGATTAAATGTCTAATTTTTAATAATCTTGTCACCCTTTGGTAAATCACCATTGTCAGCTTACAATTAATACATATTTGCAAACTTATGTATAGTGGGTTGTAACCTGAGGAGATACAACAGAAAATGATATTGTTTTTTGATGTATTTTGCTGGAAACTATTTACAGACAATAAACAATGAAGAAATTTATTTCTTAACACCAGATTCTCTGGATTAAAATCACTTATATATATATATTCATATGAACTGTGATCAAGATTTGACCGAATAGTTGCAAAATAATTGGGCGCCGAGTGAAAAGTAGACATTTGTGAAAATTATATTTGTAAAATCTCAGCGAAACTGAAATGAGTAAATCCAACGTTTCGTTCGGTAATCTGGTCTGAACTTCTTCAGGGAAATTAATCGAAATTAACATAACAAAGGTTTATGTATAAAAAGGACATCTCTTCTTTTTTAAAACTCTGTCCAATCATATGAGTCATGAAACAAATATCAACATGTATAATAAACAAAATTCTATGCGGAAGCCTTACATATATGGGTGAATCCCAACAGTTTGAACAGATGTGAAAGTGTGATGGTAGCTGATGCATGGCAAATCCTGATTAACAAGTAAAAAATGGATATGTATCACTTGGTCTAAATTCCCGATCGCCTATATCTTCTTACGGAGAGGCTAATAAATGTTTTAGAACTGTTTACCCACACACACATACACACACTATTGTATACTGCAAATACACAGTTATTTTCATATTCAGCTATCTACCACCATGAACGTAGTCACCGAAATTCTTATGAAAAGTACACTGTTTTCAAAGTGTTTGAGAAAAGTAGACTAATATAGGAAAGTCTAAAGTCAAATTTTGACCTCAGCTCATACAATTTTGTTTATTATACATGTTGATATTTGTTTCATGACTCATATGATTGGACAGAGTTTTAAAAAAGAAGAGATGTCCTTTTTATACATAAACCTTTGTTATGTTAATTTCGATTAATTTCCCTGAAGAAGTTCAGACCAGATTACCGAACGAAACGTTGGATTTACTCATTTCAGTTTCGCTGAGATTTTACAAATATAATTTTTACAAATATCTATATACACATATATCTGTTCACACTGCTACTGTAGGAGCACCATTCACTGTAAACTGTACTTAAAACCATGAACGGCAATAACATGGAAATGTCTTACTTCATTCATGAGCATACCAACAAAATACGGATGAATTCCTTTGTTTATTATTGGTGGCTCTGGTGACAAGCACACTTTCAATAAACTGATCGATTAGTTCCCGAATGATTTACCATGGTCTTTATACTTACGACAATGCAAAAGTACATGCATTTTGTTTTCTTACAATCGTCTAATTGTAATGACTGATGTAAAACTGATCATTGCAACTGTAGATAATTATTAGTAATCCATAAGACTAAACAGTGAAAATATGACAATTACATTGAGTTATGAAGTCTTTATAGTGTGAATAACAATCCACTGCTTAAGAATGAGAAGCCGTAAATTGTCTCTACTGGTAAAGTTACCAAAATCTATTTCAAACGTAGAATTAGCAAACATAAAACACTATTTATTACAGTCTCGTTTAACAACAGATTATATTGCTGTGATGGAGTGATATTAAAGTCGTATAAATTTTCGACTTTCATAGGAATTTTTTTATATATCCACGTGTGTGTTTGTGAAATTGTAGTATGCAAATTACCTAATGACTGCATAAACTGTATGCTATTTTGTGCAATTTCCTGCATTGGTAAGTCAGTCAGTCATTACATTCAACTGTTTGACAGGTGTAGATCAAACTATACGAACAGAGACTAACTGATCTCGGCTATTATGAATTCTGGCATATGAAAAAATGTGATCAGCTTTCCGGTGCAAAATAGTAAAACAGCATTTAAGAATACTGACTTTGTTTTTCAACGAGTGGGAAAAGTAATCCACTAGAATCAATCCGAGTATTTTCAAGAAGTTTAGATGATTAAGTTTGGCTTGAGGGTTTCTTTCGTCATGTCATTATTTCTTATTCCTACGCGTTTAATAAACTCAAAACAGATAAGTAAAGTTCATATGTGTGCTATACTATAAGTAAACATGTGATTTGAACACTAAGAAATGATAGGAATTTAAATGAACACAACTAAACAGATGTCTGCAGTAAGTTAGTGTTATGCCTACATTCTGTTCAAAAAATAATGAAACCGTTTACAAATTTTTTCTGTAGTCAAACCAAATGTTTAGCTTATTCATGACACCTACGCGAATTCTTCGAACTGTTATAAAACTTGTTGACTGCATATCTGAACAAGATCAAAAAGCCTAATATAAGCATTGTCTTTGTTGCCATGATTAGTTTGTGGTGACAATGGAAGATGATGTGATACCGCTATCACCATTCATATCTAGTTTATTATGCGTTCACCTTTCGACTTCAATCTTGAGCTCTTCCGAAATAGTCTGGTTGAGTCATATTTCTATCCATCACTGTTTTAGTTAAAGCAATACGGCTGTATACGTGACAACGTTGTATATCTGTATACTTGTCAGATCTGGCAAGTTTATTTTTATCATTTTAAACTGTTTGTATTGATTACATCTGTCCAGTCTAAGTTCAGTTTTAACAGTTTGAAAATATTTGGGCATTGGGCATATGACATTCATTATTATAAGAGATTTTATATTTCCCAATAAATGAAATTCAAAACGATATATAACGGTTTATAATGGTTTCTTTTTGATTTTCCGGTTGTATCACACTTTGAATAATTAGTTTTGCATCCTTGTTAAAAGGGTGAATCCAAATCTAAGTAAAATATGGGTTTATAAGAGCTAATAAAGTACTAGTAATTCCCTCAACCGTAGTTATCTAATTTCTGTGAAGCAGACACTGTGGCATGATGTAAGTTTGTTGAATTTTGAATGTCTCAGTTCTTTAAAACGTGAAAAGAAATCTTAAATTCATGCATAATTTTTGAACATATTGCGGCTTTCTAACCTACTATTTTATTTGAAACTCTACTGCCAAAAATACGTTTCTAGTTTATATTGTTTTATCTTACTAAGCAGATTGATCAGTATAGTATGGTTTTGGGATGTTTTAATTAAATGTTTGAATTGTTTTCTTTGAATATACAACCTGCCTATGTAACACAGACACTTTTAAGAACCCAGTTTTTTGAAAAACAACACTTTTTCAGGTTGATTGAGCTGTGTGTTTTAAAAATCTGCCATAAGAGTTATTCAGTTGATTCCACTTGAAAAACAATTTTCTGAAACCTACATCAAACGACTAAACCTATTTGCAGATTCAAGAGTACCTCAGTAAAAGTCTTGAAAGATTTTGTGAAGATCATGCAGGACTTGATTTTTTTTTAAACGTTGGTGGCATGGCGGTTAGGACGCTCGTCAACCATGCACATGGTCCGGGGTTGGATCTCCGGCCGACGCACTCCTTTACCTCGCGAAGCCAGAAATAATGCTGGTGAAGAGGAAAGGTTGGGCATGAGGCTATCAACCCTATCCTGCAAAATGAACACTGCTACAGAAACTTCAAGCCACTAGCTTGAAGCCCTATGTTCCACTGGGGAACGTGAAGGAAAAAAAATGCAGGACTTGCAATGAATTCAGGGAACTTTTTCAAGAAAATGGAAAGTTGAGTATTTTTTGATATTCTATCAGGGAAACAAATCTAGTAGGGTTTCAGTTTTTATGCGCGAAAACCACTTATGAATCCTACAAAACATTTGAATTTAAATCCCGAAAAAACGTTCTGTGACAAAAACAGAAGAAAGATATATTTTGCCTTCCAGACACCGAACTTAGAAATCAAACGACTTTTATACGTCTTGAAGTTTGAAAGGGAATTTCACAAATGTGAAGTGATAAAGGGGATTTTAGTCAATACAAAATGAATAAAGGCATGAAATGTAATCAAATTTTGTTATTTTAATTTATTAGTTCACAGATTACTTCTCTATAGATTTCACTGTGTCTGAAATGGCATGTTTCTGAAAAGTCTATTTTTGACTGTTTGTTTTTTAGTCGACTTGTTACGATAACATTTGCCTTGAAATAATTAATCCTTTATTACAAATAATGACAGACATTTGAGAGTTCAGCTTTAATAAGGATTTATTATGGAGTACACCATAAAATTTCAAAGAATTATTGGAATCTAACTCTAACTGTTGGTTGATATAATGCACCGTAAGTAATCAAGTGACATTTTGGGTTACGTTTTCAGCGTCAGTAAATGCATTGATCACTCAGATGACATAGTGAAGAAAAAACAAGCAGACTTCAGTTATCTGATTGAAAGTAGTCAAAACTGTGTGTATGGGACAGCTTATAAGAAGAAAAATTTCTCTTTATGGGTAATGAAATAAAATTTTCTAAGTAACGACATTTACGACATTTTATTTCCGGCCAGCTATGCGTGTGGTATATCTGATGGAAACAGCCAACACAACAAGCCATGCAATTTACCTAATGAGGAGAATACACGTATGTACGCAAAAAATAAATAAATTGGCTGGTTCATAAACCCAAAAGAATATCTTTGGACTAGTCTCAAAACGGATGAAGAGATTATGCAGGAAGTTATTAGCTTGATGTAGTCACCATGCCAACAAAGGGTGGCCATTTCGGTCTAGATAAGTCCACTAACGGGAAGTTCAAAATGATCTCAACAAATATTATTACATACTTATTTTGTTATACTTCTAAAGCTGAAAACCAGTCTTCTCGCTTCCGTGAAAAAACTTAGAGAATAGTAATTGTGTATTATTTCAATGCAAACGACAGTTCTTCATGTCTTAACAAATATCTTCCTGTGGAAAAATTGTCATGTTTACGTAATAAATTTGGAACGGTGCCCGTACAAACCAACTTGCCATTCCAATTTATGTGAAAATTAAAGAATGGAGAGTCAAATAAAATACACCAAATAATATGAGATTTGAGTGTGGAGGATAATAATCGATGCCAGTCATGTAGATATTGTCAGATAAGAATTATCAAGGTAGGTTGAGGGTAAATTGTTTTTTGAATGTATGGGGGGCTTATTTCAAGGTTGGCGATTGTCTTAGCAACATTTAAATGTGTGCATTTGCCAGCTTTTAAGTATAATCATGAAAGCTGTTCTGATATCAAATTTATGACGCCATAGACAAAGGTGAGAGTCTACCACGTTTGTTTATTAGAGTTTCGGATTTCAGCTATTTTTGTAGCCATTTGAATGTATGTTCCTTCCATCCTCATACACAAGGTGTATTACTTTTCCTTATGCACGTGTCTACACAGAAGTGTAACTTAGTGTCTAAACAGGGTTTAATTTTATTATTTGTGGAATCCTGTGGTTTGTGCTAGAGCGTGGTTTTGCCTTCTTCTATGATTATAAGCACAACACGTTTTACGGGTGATGGAATTTATATTATTATTATATTTATATTATTTCAGTAGCACTGGTGTTTATTTTTATGAGATAAGGTTATTAGCTTCATGCCTTACCTTTCCTCTTTACTGGGCTTATTACCACCTAAGCCAAGTCAAGGAATGCGTCGGCGGGGGATAGAACCCTGGACGACTAGCGTGGTTGGTGAGTGTTTCACTAATGAACCGCCATCTCATTCATTTTATATCATGCTGGGAGAAACTGTGAATTTTTGAATACTGTCCTGTCCAAGTCAGCTTTCTACAAATCGATGACTTTATTGAGCCATCTTTACTCTGCATCTAAAGTATGTCTCAAATGCATACTTATATAAGCTGAAACGATATCCCCCCCCCCACATACATTCAAAAAACAATTTACCCTCAACCTACCTTGATAATTCTTATCTGACAATATCTACATGATTGGCGTCGATTATTATCCTCCACACTCAAATCTCATATTATTTGGTTAATTTTATTTGACTCTTCAGTCTTTTATTTTCACATAAATTGAAATGGCAAGTCAGTGTGCAGTGAGATTGTTCAAAGTGCCTTGTGCAGACACACAGTATCTACTCGGATTAACTTCGTCTTTTAACAATGCTATCCAAATTTATTAGTAGAACTAAGTATTTTAAACTTTTGTCTAATACTGCATTTCGTTTCACTAAACTTTTCTTTGATCGTTACCATCATATTAGAGCTACAACTTGACAGACGAATTCGCATTGAAACAGTGACCAAATAGAGTGCAAACATCTCTCACTTTTACGCCTACCCATATTAACATTTCGAAAATGAAGAAATGAGAACAATAGATAATTTCGTGATGAGAAACTTATATATTTATTTACCTATTTTAATTCTATTATTATATTTTGTAAAATTTATAGATCTTTCATAATAAGAGTGGAAGTACACAAATATCCTCCGATGTCTTACAGGTAAGTATCTCTTCTTATTGCATATATAAGTGCTGTATAAAGTGAATTTACACTAATTTCATTTGTCTAAGGGAAATAGGAGATGATAGTATTACTTTATTTGCGCCTAATAGGAAGTAACTATAAAGTGTCTATGATTCTTCACATCTTCCCAACAAACTAACCCATAAGTTTTTATGTATGCAGATGATTCAGACACGAAAGTTTACATGGCAGTTGTGTTCTTCGCCTTTACTCATGGTTATCATTCAAACAATAAGTACATACCGATTTGGCACATTTTTCCAGTCACATCAATTTCTCTTTTGTGTGTACAGCAGTCTACTTATCGATTTAAGGGCTGGGCAATTGACCGTTGTTGGTGTCATCTATGCGTACTTCAAGTTACAGTATTTCTGTAATTGCGAAAAGCATTTTAATAAATTTGGAAAAAAACACTAAGGATAAATTTTTCACAATACAGTAGACCTCAGCCATATAACCTTTATATCTTGTTTGCCGAAGCGTTGATATCATGGTGCAGATAAAAGACGTTTCACTAACGAAAGGGTAACTTCCGCCTAAAAATAAAAATCAGTTGAAATCAAGAATGTTCTAGCCCGCTGTTCTGCAAAAGGTTTGACAGATATTTCTTCCAATTTAATGGCAACAAGGTGACGTGGAATCTGGTTCATACCATTTTCAATCCCCCAAAAACAATCTGTACGATTTCATTGATTTCTTCCATTTGATGATTACCTATAACCATCTGCCAGAATTAAGCATCAAACATGATGAAGTATTCAAATATATATATATATATATATTTCAGCAAGTTACATTTACCCTGCCTATAAACTTATTTCATTTTCAAAATTAACAGAAAAAATGTTTCGTCTATGTTGTGAAATAAGTCTGTAAAGTCTGTTGATATGAGTTAGGAGCATGCAAAGCAAAATTCAACCCGTAGTAGTGTAACAGCAGAAGTCAAGACACGAAAGCAAACGTATATTTTCAATTGATCAAACCGCTATTTATATCCATACAGTTAATACTCGTCAACCAATCACTGAGTGTGTGATTTTGGTTTGCATTAAAAGAAATGAAATAAAATGTTCAAATATATATAGTATTCTGTTGCTAATGTACTACTGAACTGTGAGAATAATATTTCGTTGGAACACATTGTCTGTATCACACCACCGCGGCAGTAATAATCTTCCCGAAAAATGACTAAAATTTAGTCACATAGATAAATATAGTTATCGTTTTGCAGAAAGGTGTCATGAATGTGTCGAATAATCAGGCCAAACTAAAAACTAATTATTATTATTATTGTATGGACTTTTATGACTACTTGAAATATTTTCATCTTTTCTTTTTTTCCGCAGTCACTAAAACTACACAACTTTTCATTAAAAGAACGCATACGCATCCTGGAGCAGTTACTGCTACTGTCGGTGATAGTTGGACGTTGGTTAATGCCTAGGGAAGGATTAACACGTGATCAGTTATCTCAACTGTTATTGATTAACATTGGTACAGCAGCTGATATTCTAGAGTTATTTGAAGCATTCAATGAACAAGAAGTACGCAGAAATGATTTTTTACGCACTGTTATCTTATCATTATGGCAAGCCAGTTTGTTACAGTTTTGTTTTAATAAAACAGCTCTTAAACAACCACATAATTATAATAATTACAAACACTGGTTGAATAAATCAAATGACTTGGTTTCTTCAGTTCCCTGTTCAGCTGATGAAAAATCGCTGAGTGATATTGAATGTGGACTGACTGTCGACAACAGTAAATCAAATTCAAAAAATAAACAGCCAAGAGACAGTCTACTAACAAACCTGAAGAACTGGAGGTGGAAACGTAAACAACATGGCGGACAAGAAGAAATGCATCAATGTATTATTGTCAGTAGCGAATCTGATCCACAAATAAAACCACAAGCATCAGAGTCACAACAACAGCAACCGTCAGCCCAATACCTAACACCACCTCAACCAACAAGTACGGATCTGCCAAAATCAGTTTCACAAAATGACATTGTAAGAGATGATGAAAATACAAGCTGTCCATTATTTGGTAGTTGTATTCTTTTGTGTCGTGAACGGCCTTGTTTATGTTGCGAAACAGAATTATGGGCAATAGGTATATCATTAATGTTACAAGATATACCATTTCTTGTACTAAGGATAACTTTGATAGTTTATTACAATGTGAAAAGTTATTCAAACGTCTTTTTTACTTGTAAAAATACTTTACTAATTCTATTACAAGTATTTCGTTCTATTGTTATACTCTCTGAGGCTAGTTAAATTCTATGTCTTATTGCTATAAACAACATTAAAATTCATAATTTACTTAAACTGATTATTCATTAATTTATGCATGCTAATAATAGGTAGAAGAATATCAAAATAAACAACAAAAAAAACTGTCATGTAAATATAATTTCTTTATTCCACGTATACATTGATGTAATCTAACATTATGTTGACATTACATTCAATGAAATTTTTTTCGATTTCATGTAAACTTTTTTTTAACAGTGATTAATTAACTTTATAACTTTGGCTGTAACTTCAACAATTTAAAGATAGTTTCTTTTATGAGATAAACATTATTAAAGAGAATGATATTTTCAAAAATATTTAGGTGTACTTGAATATGTTTATAATGCAAATAAGTAAGAGTATGAAGTGTGAAAAACAACTTAGTTGTTATTATTGTTTATTGCATAAATTAAATTGTAATAAAATCATGTTTACAAGATAAACTAAGGTTCAGTTTTATTGAGATTTTTCTCTGTTTACATCAGCTTAGAGTAATACATATTTTATTCCACTTCTGATTTGATCAGAATAGTTTATCACTTTTTTATTCCCACTGACACTGTATTCTAAGAGATTTAATTTAATATGACGTAAGTTTTTTCATGAACACTTCTCGTTTATTTCCTGTTTCGTACATCAAAAATCCGACTGAAAAAAACTATATACTCATTTTGATTTGAACAGGTGCTGGTTGTTTAAAACTTATTAGTATGAAATTAACAATGTTGCTGACAGTAGGCCTTTTGATCAGGTAGCAAGAAATATTCTCGAGAGGCTGAACAGTTCAGTTTATTCAGATTATACCTCAACTATTGAAATGAAATCGATCCTGACTTTCCAGTAACAATGAAGAAGACTATGTGCATTAAGAAAATTTAACAAAATAAACTTTCTTTGCGAGTAATCGTTTTTAAAGGTTGTTCTCTTAAGTATTTCACGTAAGAAGAAGCATATTTTTTCATAAACCAATATTAAGTCAAGACGAGACTATAATTAGTCATTTTAGAATGTTCTGATAGATTGGTTCTACAATCATGTGATAATTCGAGAAGTAATAAGTGAGGCATAGAAAATAGAACTGCATCAGGAAAGTCAAAGTAAAGTAGTGCAGAAAAGATAAAAATCAGAAAGATAATTAAATTGGCAAAGACTTGCAAAACAAAAGAGGTCATGGAAGGGTTATCACTTATGTGAAGTAAGAGACCATGTGTGTAGGTTTTAAACAAAGTCTTAGCCTCAAGAGATCTAAACTTTTGTTAAGCACTGACGATAAAGCGACAACGGTATACTACTGTCCAGTGTAGAACAGGAGTGAAGAATTTAAACTTTAGTGTGACATACAATACGGCTTGAATTCAGTCTGTGTATAACTGCAAGCTTTGGTAGAAACGAAGGTTTAGAACTCAGAATGAGGATGAGAACTGTTAGCTTTCGTTCCGAACATTGATATTTGATTGTATATGTTTCATCCACAGGCTCCATGAATTCTTCAGCAATAATTTTATTAAGATATAAGCATATAGTATTAGAATAGGAATGTGAAGATTTCCCCTATGCATCTCATATGTGCTTAAAATTTGTTCTGACTTCATCGGAATAATGATTTCAAAAGAGTTATTTAACAGTACACCAGGTGATGATAAAATTACTCATCAATATATGAAAAATGGATCATGCCTAGTTGGAGGGCAAGCCATCCAAATGCTAAGACATTGAATATTTGATCAATTTTGCATGCACGCCTTTACTGAAGAATTTTCCAAAGTCTCTAATAGAATGAAATAGAGAGATATGAGTGACGAGTAAACTCACAAATCGTGTAAAGTAGAAGAGTTGGCACTACAAATGTGTTTGCAAGTGTACTACATGCATACTTATTTATCTCTGGGAAGTGCTCTGATAATCGCTTAACTGATAAATTTCCTCTTTTTACCAATTGTATGCTCATTACTCTTTATATTATCAATTCCACTATGGTGTCGCTTATCTCACCTTTATCTGTACGCGTAAACTTCACATTCTGCATTCTGAATCTATCAGATTTATTTCAGTTCTCAGCAAAACTAATGTGCTTAATTGTACACCATGTAATCAACGGTACATATTACATGTTTATGATAAATCTTTTTCGGTTTTCAAGCCAGCCATGAGTATGTTTTAATGTACCTATAAGTAAAAATGTACTAAAGAGCTTTAAGATAGACATTTTCAATAAATTAAAATCTGCTAGTTACTTTTTAAATCAACATGAATTATTTATCAGTTTTGAGGAGCTCAAGTTGTGAATTCAACGACAATCAGAACCGAAGCACGAGTTTGATAAATATGTGTTCATTAGAAAACTCATTATTAGATTTCGTTTTATGAGTCATTAGAATGTCTAGTTATCGTCATCTAGCAGTCAAGTTAATAAGTTGCATTTAATAACTTGCTTAATTAGTTTGCGTTTAAACACTCCCTATTATCATGTCGCTTACTCATATGGGGATACTTATACCTAATCCCTATACCGTATAAACATTAGATTATTGATAATATTTGAAATAAATAGAAAAGCTACAAAATGTGGGTGATCTACAGTGGGCAAATAAACAGCTGCTTCAATAATCAATTTAAACATCTTATGTCTAGAAGAATTTGCAAATCTTTAAAACTAAGCACATAAATACGTCCAAAAGCAAACTATTGAATAGAAGGTAGACACTATTTTTTCACACAGTTTGCATGAAATGCAAAATGATTCGAATTAAAAAATTAGTTCTAAGAGGTAGGCTTTCACATTTGTGAAATAAATTCAAGTGAATAATTGTTACAATTAATTTTTTTAAAACGTTTAAGAGTGAACATCTGTTTCTTTTAAGTACTTAGTCTTTTGTCATCAGAATGCAGTAGCATACTATAGAAAATACTACGTCAGTGGCACAGCAGTAGAATGCCCGCCAATCATGCTGGTGGTTGGGTTTCGATCCCCGGCCGATGCACTCATTTACCTCACTAAGCTATTAATAAGACCGGTAAAGAAGGAAGGTTGGGCATGAGGCTGGCAACCCTATCCCATAAAAAATGAATACCACTGCTACGTAAAACTTCAAAGCTCTAGCTTGAAGCCCTATATTCCACTGGGAACATAGACTATTAATTCATTCCTTATAGTTTTATTAGTCAGTCACATTGAATAAGCAGTCAAGTGTTCAGTTTCCAGACTGATTTTGAAACATCCACTAACTAACACTATGTATACATCTGAAAACAACACTATCTACAGTAGGTAGCAAGTAGCAAACTATAGACGACTTTAATTTCAAGTATTGGTTCTTTAGGGATTCTATCCCAGTGGCTCAGTGGTCTACGAGCTCGCCTTGTAACCAGAAGGTCCTGGGTTTGAACCCCGGTGGGTGCGTACTGAAGAGTCCCAAACTAGGACGAAACCGATGTCAGCTCATGATGAAATCCCCCATGCAATCAGACTTTAATTTCAACACTAATTTACGAAAAAAATTACTTGTCAATTCTTAAAATCAAATTTACACTGATATAGTTTTCATAATAACTAACATGCAGAAGCAGCTTTCATTCACGTAAAAAATTTTAAACACCAGGTTTTATGACAGTTGAAAGATTTAAACTGGTTTGTGCACATCTATGAAAAATCCTAAATATCACTAAAATAAGCATATTTTGAAGACATATGACGTAATCCACCAAACAAATCATAAAACAATTCATGTTTTTTTCCAAAATTAGTCGAAAAGGTAAATGGATAAAACGAAAAATAGAAATCTCCATTAATTTAGTAATTGAATTAAAATATTCACGATAATACTTAGTGTAGAAAGGCCAATGTACATACTGCCTAGCTACCTGTAAACATCTAATGATAGCAACAGATCATTTTTCCATAACAGCAATATAAGGACGCAAGCAAGTGTCAGAAAACTTTATATTTCAATGAAGTATGATGATACTCCAGAGATGCAGGTCATGAAGGTTGGTGTGAGAGAAAGCGTGATTTGAAAAACCTGACTAAAAGTAAAGCATATAGTTGTGAAAAGTAATCTGTTCCGATGGATATCGTTTTGTGCCGACACCAGACTTTACAAAATTTGGGTTTTTGCACTACAGATTTTCACAGAAACTTTGTAATCTTCGAGTACACAACAGATTCACTCTAGAACTGATATTTGTGCCACTTATTTATTAATACATCTCGGGGTTAAGACAAATCATAAGTAGAAGAAACACTTCAAAGAAGAAAATAGGTTTCTTTGAAATGAAGTGTTAGAATATCAACTTTTACAATGTTTATATCCATACAATTCATTTAATTTCTGTAAACTGCATGTTAATAATTAAAGCACTACCATTTGCAGACACCGTTAGCCAACTGTAATTGCTTGAAGCATGTACCAACAATCTCATATTTGGAGAGTATGATAAAGCATTCTTATCCTTCTAGATCTTTTTTCATTGATGAGTATCGAAGTACTAATTCGTTTCTACCACAATTCTTGCCAGTTGATAGTCTTTTTTATAAATAACCCACACAATGTCTCGATGATAAAAAGGGATAGAAATAGATACAATACGCCGACTGTTTGACACGAAATAGTTTAAGGCTAAATTTTACATTGGAACTTGGAGGTATTCGGGTTTCTAGGAAAGCGGAATGTTACCTTCAAGCTGACATCAGATAAAGAACTACTGGAAAATCAGGGTGTACTGAACGTCGGTTTTTTCCCAGTTAGGGACTCTTCAGCAACATGCATTCTCCAGGGTTCGAACGTGTAACCAACAGATCCTTGCAAGCCAACACTTGACATAACATATACTCACCTGACACATTAAACCATGTAGGATTAATTATTTTATTTCTTCTAGACTTTCCAAAAAGAATACTATTAACTAGTTGAAGCCATTTGAAAGTTAAATTATTCTTAACACAAGATACATAAGGGTTAGTTTAATTCAGGACAAAGAAAACGTTGTTTGTTAAATATTTATAAAATTAGTGAATAGAGGCAATATGTCATCGAGGAATTCAGAAACCAATAAACATTTGAAGTAAAATATATAAGTGTTGGTTTGCAAGGAATTGGCTGCTTATTGGATTTTCATCATCAGCTGGCATTGGTTAGAGCACCACTGGAAAGCCTTGGAGTATTCGATAGCTCTTTCTTCCTAGTTTGGCCCTCTTCATGAGTACGCAGTTTCCAAGAAAAATATCTTATCGACGATCTTCACAGACTATATATAGCATCCAGTCAAAACTTATTAAAATACGTAAAAGTTTGTTGTTATATGGTAGGAAAAGGTTATGCTAATAATGCCGTGAAACAGAAGTAGTGTCCAGGTATGGAAAATTACCCAGTGA